TCTCCTGCCGTTTGTGACGGGGACCAAAGGGACCCCGCTCCGGCCCGGGATCTCGATCGACGTGTTCATCTACTCCCTCGCCGACGAGAACCTGAACAAGCTAACGCTCGGCGGATTCCAACGGCACTGGGGGGTTTACAGGTCCGACGGCGACCCCAAGTACAAGATCGACTTCACCGGAAAAGGGCGGGATATCTTTCCGACCACCGCTAAGGGGGTGGTGATGATGCCGAAGAGGTGGTGCGTTTTCAACGGGGACAAGCGTAACTTAACGAAGGTGAAGAAGGAGGTGGAAGATGCATGCATGATGGGGGACTGTACACCATCGTGGCCGGGTGGTTCTTGCGACAACCTCGATTTCGACACGAATGTTTCGTACGCGTTCAACCGGTATTTTCAGGCGATGGCGCAATCAATTGATGATAAGAGCATCACGTGTGATTTTAAGGGTCTGGGGAAGGTGGTTGTCAAGGACCCCTCCGTCGGGAGTTGCAGGTTTCCAATGGAGATATTGTCGGCGGAGATGGCGGATAGCAACGGGTTAACTAATGGAGAGGATGGGGAGAGGCGCCGAGGGTTTTTTGGTCTTTTTCTTTTGATTATTTTCGTCTTGGAATTGAATTGGGGGCATGGTTTTGTTTTATAGGTGATAGTGAGATTTATTGTATACTCAGTTTACCTTTTCTTTAACCTGTCTTATTAGAGTTTTTGTAAGAAACCATTGGAATCAATTCAATTTATAGATGAAATGAATTACTATAGAATATCTCAATTGTACTACTTCTCAGTAAACCATGTAATTTGATGCATAAAAACAATAATAAAAACTCACATCTCTGCAGGCAAACGACATACGACAACCGCACGTTTGAGTAGCGCTTCGGTTCTTGAAGTTAAAGCCTCCGCAAGTGAGTGCATCGCTGTGATCCGATTGCATACCGTAAAGAACTAAAGTAGAAGGCTTTTCGGATCACAAACTGCACAGTCGGTGATTTCTAGCAAAATATCAGCTGCCGAGTCAAGAATAAGAGGTTAAAGAAAACAATATAGCAAAATATAATAAAGGGTATTAAAATCGAGATCTGTCTTTGGGGTTTCGGTTTCAAAACACATGATAGGAACAACGCTCGAATTTAAACAAACATATCAAGGACATTTTAGTCCAACTCAACCACTATGAAGCGTATTATTACCCCAATCCTGCGAAGCATATTACCCAATACGAGGATTACATAATCACAACTCTCGAACATAAGAATCTCATTCCGACAAATCCAATTCTTGCGACCAAAATGTCGAAATCAGAAGTTTAAACACTAAGGTTTCAAGTATATGATTAATCACGAGAGTTTATTGCATTTAGCACCCCTGAGTTTAATCTAATTGTTAAAAAAAAAAAAAAAAAAAAAAAGCTCCTCGTGTTATAAACATTATCGAACACACCTACCTACGATTCAATTATATAGCCAACTAACTCAAGAAACTCAACATTTAGGGGATTGTATGCCAAACAAAAACATTGTAGGGGGTGTTTGCTAATATTTAAAACACGGAGAGTTTCTCAGCAATTTGATTTAAAAAATGAAGGAAAAAAAACATTGTACCTTCCACCGAAACAATTTCAGACAAACCGTTTCTTGACTGCTAAAAAGTGAACTCGTTTGCCTTTTTCGACAAACGCAGGTGATGCTAAAACAGACTAACTCATTTGTTTCTTCATCTAACATCAATCGGAATACGTCGAAAGACTCCGCGAAGGCGTAACCGGAAATCATAGTGGACACGCGATCGAACTCCTCACAGGCATTTCGTCGAACACGTTACGAGCCTCGATCACCATGGAGCTGTACTACGATCACGTCGCGGCATTCGACCGTGGCGGCGAAAAAAACTCCGGCGAAGGTGTGGCGATTCGGGAGGTTGCGGTGGCGGAGCATCTGTTTGGAAGAGCTGCAGAGATGGAGACAGGTAACGGGCGGCAGCCGGTCGAGTTGGGAATAGTTGTTGATGGGGACGCTCTCCGGCGAAGTGGCGGTGGCCCGTCGGAGAACTGCGCACGGTGCGTTGACCAATTGACATTTTATGAGTTGACCATTTTCATTACTAGCAAAGTCAAAGCAAAATTTTCTTTGCATTCTTTTTCTTATCATATTCATCGCTGTTAGATATTTTTTCGGAATTTGTTTCCTTGGTCAAATAATATTGTTGCGTCAATTGGTCAGCATAATAATATTACTATATAATACAATAATTTTTCTGGTCCTATAATTACTGTTTAAAACAATAATAAATGGATATTTATTCACTTTATATTTGGCTAATAATTAAAACAGAAAAATGAAGCTTAATCTTGACCAAAAAACAACCATTCATTTTTCTCCCAAACAAATATGCATCAAATATCATTCACATTTCGTCAAAGAGGAGAAAAAAGAAAGAAAGAAAGAAAGACCATATTCGTATTCCCACACCATAGCAAAAAAGAATCAGATTTAATTCATACATCTGAGATCTAACAAAACTATGGTGTTAAGACGAAAAAATTCGTCGTGGGACCCACCGTTATTTTTAATAATAGCAATATTGATATCTTCTTCTTCGTTCACCCCCGTCGAAGGGGTGATCGGAATGAGCTGGGGCCGGCAGACGACTCACAGATTGATTCCGTCGATGGTGGTCGATTTATTACTACAGAACGGAATCCGGCACGTGAAGCTTTACAGCCCGAGCGACAATGTCCTAAAAGCGTTTGCCGGAGGAGAAATCGTCATCACATTGATATTTCCTAACGAAGGCCTCGTCAACCTCGTGTACCCTGATATTGCAGCATATTGGATTGATACTAAAATGCGATCGTACTTAGACCAAAAGATTAATATAAAGTAAGCATGCATGTACTCGTACGGTTTGTCTTTCTTGATCGTTTCCGAATTTACGCACAAATATTTTTTTATTTTTCGACCTAGATGTAGCATATATATCTTACAATGTATGCATTGGCACAATCAGCATAAGGCCAAGGAGTATTTTATACAAAAAAATATTATGTTTTTGTGTATGGTAGAATTAACGGTTCCCGAGAAAACAAATAGTGCATATTTGGTTCATGAACACATAAAATTCTGGCTTCGTCACTCGTCATTTTTTTTGATTTTTATTTTTTTTTGATTTTTGACAGGACCATGTATATCGGGAACGAGCCGTTCACTCCGGATAAAAAAGGGGACTCGAACTTAAACGCAAACCAAGCATTGAGGAATATTCAGGACGCATTAAAGGCCAACGGGCACATAGACGCGACCGCGACGACCGCACACTTCACCGACATGTTGGCCCCCAACATCCAAAAGCCGTCCGAGGCTGATTTCCACCCGACTTGGAAGAGCGAGATGGTGGAATTCGTTGGACTTCTCAACCGGACGAACGCGCCCTTCGTCATGGACATGTTCCCCATGTACTTCGTGTCCCAACGCGGTTGGGACATAGAGTTTGCATTCATGGACAACATGTCCAATTTCACGATCGTGGACGATGCAAACGGGTTCGTGTACACGAACGTGTTCGAGTTCGTCTACGACTCGTTCCTGACGGCAATCGCCAAAGCGGGGTCCCCGAACCTGGAGCTGAAGGTGGGCCAGATTGGCTGGCCCACCGACGGCTTCCCAGGGGCCACTACTGCGAACGCAGAGCGATTCTACAGGGGGTTCCTACCGTACGTGGCGGGGACCAAGGGGACCCCGCTCCGGCCAGGGATCTCGATCGACGTGTTCATCTACTCCCTCGCCGACGAGAACATGAACAGCCCGACGCCAGGTTTCCAGCGGCACTGGGGGATTTACAGAGCCGACGGCGAGCCCAAATTCAACATCGACTTCACCGGACGGGGACGCACGGATGTCTTCCCGACCACCGCGAAGGGGGTGGTGATGATGCCGAAGAGGTGGTGCGTTTTCAACGGGGACACGAGTAACCTGACGAAGGTGAAGTATGAGGTGGAGGATGCTTGTAAGGTTGGCGATTGCACGACATTGTCGCCGGGTGGCTCGTGCGACAACCTCGACTTCAATCAGAATGTTTCGTACGTGTTCAACGAGTATTATCAAGCAATGGCGCAGTCCACTAATGTTAATGGTACGACGTGCGATTTTCAGGGTCTGGGGAAGGTGGTTATGGAGGACCCCTCCGTCGGGAGTTGCCGGTTTCCACTTGAGATATTGTCGGCGGAGACGGCAGATACCAACGGGGTAACTAGGCAACAAGTTGACGAGAGGTTCCGAGGGGTTTTTCATCTTTTGCATTTGATGTCGATTATCTTCGTGTTGGAATTGATCTAGGCACATTCCATGTATATCATTATAAGAAAAATGCAACAGAGGTTTCAAACAATCATGATAAATAATCAAGTTTTGCGAACAAGAATATCATAATCATACAACCTAATTAATAATTTGCATGCCACTCGAATCGAATTCTTTGTCGGTCGAAAGCTCGAACACCTTGCGTTGTTTAAGCTCCCCCGTTTAGCATATATACATGGTAAAAACAACATTTTCCCACCGAAACAATTTAAGACATCAATCCGAATATAATATAGTGAACCATTGTAACCGAATTCCTCACATGCATTTCGTCAAACACGTTGCGAGCCTCGTCCATGAATCCCGAAGACTTGGCGTACGTAAACGTTCACCATGGATCTCTGCACGAACACGTCGCGTGATTCGACCAGTTTCACCACGAGACAATGTGCATGGTGGGCCATCACGGGGTCTTCCGGCGGCGGGAAATACTCCGGCGAAGTACAAGTTGCAAATATTGTATTTATAATTTCCAATTAATTAATTAAATTTATAAATGTACTTTTTATTATTAAATAGCCCAAGCATTCAGTATTCAGTAACATAGAAATGAATATTAAAATGACAACTGAGAAATGAATATTAACACACATATACTAATATTCATGTTGTAAAATAAATTTTATATATATATATATATATATATATATATATATATATAATCAGCATGCACATCCTCCTCCTCTAGGCACCTGATCACTACCAGAAATTGATTCCGGCATTCTTTGAAGATCACTGCACAAACACAAAATTAAAAATTAAAAAATTAAAAAATTAAAAAATTAAAAAGTTAAATAAATAAATAAATAAATAATATATATTTATTTATTTGTTTTTGCATGGCTCACCAATGGGATGGCATTTCTTCTTCTAGTGGCCAACTGCAACAAAAATGACAATTTAAATATAAAAAAAAAAAAAAAAAAAACCTCGAGTTTTACGTAATAAATCGAACATGAAGAAAATATATAATTTAATGAATATATATAATTAAAAAGATTTGTTACATGTTAAGTGGTTGAGAGGCAAGTGAAATTTGTGCAACACGCAAGAAAGCAGCATCTACATTGTAATCTTCTTTAGCAGATGTCTCAAAGTAAGGTATATCCCCTTTTGATTTACACCAATTTTCAGCTCTTGTTTTATCCACCTTTTTTTCAGTAGAAAAAAAGAAAAATCAAATAATTGATATATAATATTATTAATATATCCTTACAAATTTAGATTTTATTTATGCCGATTTTGCCCTTACCACGCGGCTGTTACCACCGTCAACATCCACCTTGTTTCCAATCAGCACAAACGGGAATGTCTCGGGGTTCGATGGATTTACCTGGAATAACTTATTAGATGAACGATATATAATAAGGCCTCGTTTGATTTCTATAAATAAAATGAAATAATATAATCTAGATAAAATATATATTTGTAATTTTATTTAGACTCGATGATATTCTATATTTTGATAAATTAAAGGGTCGTCCAATAAGAGCATTTTTTTGGGAATAAAAAAGTAAAAAAAATAAAAAAATTAATTTTTGCATAATTTGGTTCAGAGGGTACGGTGGGTGTTTGACTGAGCTTCGAAGATGTTAAAAAGAGCTTATAAGTACTTTCAAAGTGTTTTGAGAGCAAATAAGATTTGTTTTAAAAAGTATTGATATATACTTCTAAATGAGTAAAAATAGCTTCTAAGCTCAGTATTTGAACACTTTAAAAAATTTATAAAAACAAGACATAAGAACTTATCAGCTCTTAAAACAACTTATTATATGTAACAACTTATGACTATTTAATTAAAATAAGCTTAATCAAACGGAAGACCCGAGTTTTTGCTTAGTGTATACGCGAAATAGGTTATTGGAAAAACTAATAAACAACTTAGAATAATTAATGAGTTAATAAACAAATTAGTGACCTGTTTGAGAAAATCTTGATGCCAATTTTGAATTGTCTCAAATGATTTAAGTACATTAACATCATAAACAAGAATGCAACAATCAGCTCCTCTGTAGAATGCAACTCCTAAGCTCTGAAATCTTTCTTGTCCAGCTGTATCCCATATCTAATTATGTTTTAGGGTTTTAATTAGAATATATATAATTATATAGTATTATATTAATATAATTAAAAGTAGAATTAATTGTGACTTACTTGCAAAGTGACCAATTTGTCACCAATATGCACTTCTTTTGTCACAAAATCAGCACCAATTGTTGATTTGTACTGTGGTCTGAATTTTTTGGTTATGTATCTGGTGTTTTATTACTGGTTAACAGACTACAAAAAATAATGGTTAATTCACACACACACACACGTGTATGTATATATATATATATATATAGAAAGATGAAAGGATACTGATTCATCAAAGATGTCTTTCCCACCCTGAAAAATTAAAGCATATAATTTAAAATGATAATCGTCATATATACCTACTATGTATAATTTTAAAATGGTATGCACAAATTAATAAACCCTTTAAATGGAATGAAAAAAAAATTGAAAAAAAAAAAATTAAAAAACAAAATGTAAAAATGAAAAATATGGCTAGAGAAGAAATTAAAACATACCCACTGTCTCCAAGGAGGATGATCTTGCGCAAACTTCTTTTCGGCGTTGTCATGCCGCAGTTTAGCAACACCAGAAACAAAAATAAATTAAAATAAATCGACCTTTTATTTCTTATCGGAAAACAACTTTATATATATATGAACTTCGAATATTAGTGAAATATTATTAATAAGCTTCTTGATTATGCTATATGAAAGTAAATCTGGAATATTCAGAAGTTTCTATAGACTACTAAAATTGTAGGTGGTTTCACAATCGTGCATCCCATGTATATATATATATATATATATATATATATATATATATTTGGTTGTCAAATAATTAAGAGGTGTACTGCAGACAGTTGAATTAATTAAACCAGCTTATAAGACTCGTTCAATTTGTTGATCGAAGTGCTGTTCCACTTAGAATTTATGGCATTATATATATATATATATATATATATATATATATATATATGGTCAACTAAAAGGAAAATGAAAAGTGATTATTAAAAAAAAGTTGGATTGAAACTTATTGATCTTGTGAGTTACGTTCACAAGTCAGGTGGTTGAAAAGGTTCGGAAAAGCTAAGGTTGGAAGCTGATCTAAAATGTCAACTTTTAATTTAGGTCAACCCAAAAGTAAATGTCTCATATTTCAAAAATCTAAACTTTTAATGCAAAAATTGGTCATCTTAATTAATTTGGTTTATTTTTAAGAGAAATATGTTTTCATATTATCATTTCAAATCTACTTTTGTCAAATAAAAAAAAAAATGTTACACACCGCCCGTCACACTATGGGGAGCTGGCCATGCCCGAAGTCAGTACCCTAACCGCGAAGTCGTAACACCTCGTTTTCTGAGAGAGCTAATGCTTGTTGGGTATTTTGGAGCTAAAAGCCCCGCGTAGAATAATTATCGATTTTCTTTTTTTTTTCATGGAAAAAAAAAAGTCAAGATATCTCATAATTTTGTGGAATTAAGAGGAGTAAGCCATGGTTGACTTTTAATTGTGTACTATATATACATAATGAATTAATTGTTGAAATTGGATATAAATTGGAAGCTTCCCAGATGGTGGGAGTGTTTTTCTTGTGTTAGGGTTTATGGAATAATGCATGTCCAATCTTATACGTGTATATATACGTATATCCAATAATGCATATTTTATGTTATCCACATATAACATATTTATACAATTACTTGTTCAACTCGAGCTCGATTAACCGCAGTAGTCACGAACTCACGATAGAAACTCTAATTAGGGGTGTTCATTCAGTAATAAGATGTTAGACGAAAATAAATACCTCAAAATTTGTTTTTATGGCCGATTATTAAAATTCGAATGTAAAATTCAAAAATACCGATTCCAAGAAGTTTTTAAGTTGAGTCAGAAAGTTCAAAATATGATGTTTGATTTTTCTTTAAAAAAAATACATATATAAACAAAGATATCTTCATTTTTTTGGTCCACATGAGTTTATTATTTACATATTTGTACATATAAAATTTAGGGCAAATTACACTTCACCTCCTCAAAACAATTTATTTTTGCACTTTCCCCCCTTAAAATACAAAACTAAAACCGTCCCCCTTTGAAATATACAACTCGTTGCACTTTGCCCCAAATGTGTATTTTCAGTTTAATTCTTGTCGGTTTTGAGTAAGTTGGAAGAGTAATTTCGTCTTTTTAAGGCTTTAAATGTCATTTAGGGCAAAGTGCACTGAGTAGTATATTTCGAAGGGGGACACTCTCATTTTTGTATTTTGAAGGGGGAACTTGCAAAACCGGATTTTTTTGAGGGTGCAAAGTACAATTTACCTTAAATTTTATAGTATTTATTTTTAAATAAATATTTATGGACCACAAGAGTTCATCTTATGTGCAGTTGTCACCGAAACGGTGACAACTGCACACAGTACTAATTGGCCCCTCCAAATTATATGACGTCAGCATGATGACGTCACTCTTATTCATTCTATTTTTGCCACGTAGCTTTTAGAGCACCTAGATGGTGTCCCTCCTGGAAATGTTCAAGAAGTTGCCCTCCAAACACAAAACAAAAAAAATAATGATAAAATAATAAAAGTAAAAATAAAAAAATAAATTAATAAAAGCTTAAAATTAATCACCATTTTCTACATAGGCAAGAAGTCATTTTTTTCCACAAAATCAATAATAATGTTCAATTCCACAATGGCCACTAGCTCTCAATTTCAAAACCCTAATTGTAATAATCAAGTGCCCTATAGTTTGGATCAATTTAACGATTCGCCGTATTTTCGTATAGCTAAGTACCTCTTATCCAACGAAGACGAAGGCTCCGGCGAAAACCTATTTTCGGAAAACGAGAATATCTCCGAAAATTTTACAACAAACCGCTCCGATTCATCTTCGG